AAAAAAAGCTAATTATTTCTGATAGTATGTTATTTGTCATCCAGGATTTCATTTCTTCATTCAGCTGAGTACAATCATATATTTTATTACTATCAACTTCAAAACAATCATATGATTATTGTTAATATATTATGTTTCAGTCCTATTGTCAAAATGGTATAAAAATTCAACTTTTTCTCCCTCCTAATTCTAAAATGGCATACTTGTGAATACATTATGCTAAAATTTGAATAATTGAGACACATTTATAAAGGATATTGTATTGAATTTGTAAGACAAAGTGTAGACAACTTTGTATCCATTTAACTACATTTTCTAAATTCATATTTCCTGTTCATATTTTCTCACTTGGGACTAATTGGGACAATGCAAGGTTATGCATGTGTCATTAATTTAACAAACAGATATAATTCGACAAGTAATGAAAATTAAATGACATAGTTACTGAAATGGTTACTGCTCCGAACTACTTGATCTTTCAATGATCAACTGCTTTTATTTTAGAAATTTACTAGAAGGTAACTAAAATATTAATATTTTCAGACAAATTCATGAAATTCCAGCACTTTATTAATTTTTCTGTAAATGCATTATATTTTATATTCCTTTTTCAGCTACACTATCTGGCAATTCAAATATATTTCTTACTGCTGAACATTAGACAGAACCATTACAAATTTGAGGTTAAAATTTATAATTATCATATAAATTAAGTTATCGTGAAATATGAAATGCCAACAGGTTATTATTTGTGAAAACAAATATTTGTGTAGTATAAAAATATTGAATCCATACATACTTTTTGATTAGTCAATTTAAAGTATCGAACAACAGTAATACATCATCAACTAGTCACAATCTAACAAATTTCCATCCAAACATGAATCCTTCCTTTGTTTTTCACTTAAAAAATATGTTTTATTGCATATTGTATTGATAACACATGTGTAATTTTCTGTTGCCTCAATTGTAGGAAACTAATCTGCCCTTTCTATTTAAATGTGATGTAATAAGACTCCTGGAATTGCTATAGTCCAATGAATTGAACTTTGCAATGTATGCGTTTCTTCCTTTATGAAGTACAAGTAAGTCTTTACCTAGTACCTGGCAAAATTTACAGACGAAGTATGGAAAATTAGAAGAAATATTGGTGTGCATTTACTCACAAATCCTCTAGTATATTGATGAAGCATGTAGTCCTCTCCAACTGCAACATTGCTCAACGTATCCATGATATATTGAGGTGGTGGATAGTCTGGAAATCCTTGTCCAAGATTCAACGGTTTATAGTCTATTGCCATTTGTATGTATTCCGTCCTAGAGTGAATCAAAACATATGTGACTTTGTTGATTAGCATACTCCTACAAGGCATGTATACTTTTATTGTTGGTTATGAAAGAATCATTTCAAGTTATTTTGAACATATCGCAATTTCAGATATTTCTAAAATCGTCTGATACTTTCTGGAAAGTTCTATGGTATTTTCAAAGTTTAATTTTGCAGCGCTAAAACTGATGTAGGTCATATTTTTTTTCCGATTAATCGTTGGCTGCTGCCCCACGATGACACTCAGGTCAAGAAATATTCTTCTTGTTGAAACAGGAGTAGTTTGCCTAACGGACTGTCTACAAATTTTCCGCATGGTGTATTTTCGAGAGGAGTCTTTCAATTTGTTAACTTCTCTTACTGGACCGTTGTTTATGTCATATTCCCCTCAACGCCTTGGCTGATTTTTTAAATTACCGCACTAATTGTTTTTTTTGTAACAAGTTTTCCTCTTTTCTTTTCTATTCCTCTATTGTTTCGGCAACGTCTTTTGTCTTACTTTTTTCTTTCTCCTTCCTGTTCTTCCAGCTAAAGTATTTCGTTTTCTTTTCACAAGCTTTTATTCAACTTGCTTTGTATGTATGTATGTCAGTTGGGATCAAATCTTGCAACTAAATTTTGAAGCACTTATCATCAACCCATTGAGCTAAAATTTTGCAAACACGTTTGATTTGGAGGATAATGTGTGAATAACTAAGTTTGCTAAGTGATGCCTTTTTACATCCACGCCTGAGATGAGAACTAGTTTTTTCTATGCACACCCACAAACTGAGTATCAAATAAAAGGATTTGCTGAAAAGAATAGGAAAAATAACATGTCACTCTAAAACCAATAAGACAGACCGCCCAAGATGGTGGACTAGCTCTTTCAAGCACTCCCTTGATACGAGNAGAAAGTTTCGTAGCATTTAATTTTCAAATACTTTTCATTTATACCCTCTCAAAATAAATTCCTGGCTATGCACTTGATCTCAAGTATACTGAAAATATTGATAGTGTTTGTTCTCATTATTCTGTCATTTATATCAATGAATATGAGAAATAATGAATATACAAGTTCTGTTAAAAAAATAAGAATTTTCTTTTTTCTAAAAAAATGTTTATTTATTCATCAATTTCTATTATGTCCCCTTCAAAGTAGTCTCCCTCAGATATAATACACTTATGCCAGAATTTTTTCAATCCTCTAAGTTTTGATATGCACTTTTTGGTGTATCCTTGAGCTTTCCTGCGATTCGGTTTTTATCCCCTCAATCGTTGCAAAACGCCGTCCTTTCATAGGTTTCTTCAATCTTAAGAACAAGAAAAAGTCGCAGAAGGTCAAATCAGGTGAATAAAGTAGCCGAGGCATGATTACGATGTCTTTTTGGCCAAAAAATTACGAACAAGGCATGACGGGTGAGCATTTGCATTATCGTGATGCAAAAGCAATGAATTGTTTTTCCACATCAGACGTTTTCTTCTCGCGAGCGGCGCATAACCTCAAAATAATACTCCTTATTGACTGTACGGCCATAAGGTAAGGACTCCTTATGCACTACGCCGCGGTAACTGAAGAAAACAGTGAGCAAAACCTTGATAATTGATGGAATTTGGCATGCTTTTTTATCTTGGCTCTCCTATGAGCTCTTCCATTGGGACGATTGGATTTTGGTTTCGATGTTACAACCAAGTGTCCCAGAACACTTCTAACTTTTATGCCTCTCACTAACAAACTAAACATACTAAACAGCTGAAACTGTAAACAAATGTTCGAGACTAGTGTACCAACATAAAAAAATAAATAAATTGATAATTGAATGTATGTAGCCCATGAAATTTGAACACTCACCTCATTTTTTTAACAGACTTCGTATCTGTCTAACAGCACTCTATTGCTTTCTAGTTGAAAATATATTTTGATTTCCTTCAAAACAGGTACAAATATTGTAATATAATTTTTTAAAGCATCTAGAAATAACAACTGAATAAGACACTAGAAACATTTTCTTGATTTATTGTAAAAACAAAACTTTTGTATAATTTAAATATACATTAGTCAATAACTTAAATTAAAATCACCTTTGCACATCCAACTTACTCAAACACACGATCACAACTACATAAATAATTACTTGCTCAGTATCTATAGTTCATATACAATGAAATAACAGAATATACAACTGGATAAACTTTTTGTATCTGTAACCATTAGAATATTAAAATATTGACATGTTGACATCCTTTGGGCTATAGTGAACCTAACCTCAAATCGCAATATCTTATAAAGGTTTCTTTGATATTTATTTCAAAAAGCATTTGATATTTACTATTGATGAAGTTTCAAATTACACATTCANTATCTTCGAACTATGGATATTTACTATTGATGAAGTTTCAAATTACACATTCAAGAAAATGTATGTCAACAACAAAATAAATTTTCAAGTTTCTATATTAATCAATGACCCAACATGAATTGGAAAACAAAATTTAAATTGATATAATTTTCTAAATGAGTATCAGGTGGACCCCATATGTGAATTGGTCTTGAATCTGTGTGAAATATTCCAAAAATTTCAATGTTTCAACTCTACTCAAATGAAAAACTCACCCTACTTCTTTGAATAGTAATGTGTTTCCTGATGAAACTCTGGTTAACGAAAAAACAGAGGTTTTTCAAGTTATAATGTGAATTTATTCAAAATTACAATATTTAGTATCATTATGGGGAATTGTTAATGATTCAGTCACAAGTCCCTTAAACTTTTTGGGAAATAAAACAATTATATAGATATTCAAATTAGCGTTATGTTATCTCTCTCCCAATTTATGTACTGAAAATTAACTTCTTGATATCTCCTCTCTGTTTAAATTGAAAATATGTATATTAATTCATTGTGTTGTTAATAGAAACAAACATTCATCTCTGAAATTAGAGGCTGCTGAAACCTTCTATGAATGTCACACTAGGAAATCCAAAAATTCTATTACCAATAAAATTGAAACACTTTCACATGTTATTTATAAGAAATTACCAATTACTTCAAAACTTCTCTAGCATCTGCTTTCTTCAAATCAATATGTATTAAATGTTTTGTATTATTATTTAAAAATAACTCATTTCATATTGAAATTTAGTTGAGGTCCCTGATATAAACATTTATGTTTCTTCGTTAAATGAAAGTCAACTGTTTCTCATGAGATTAATTTTTCATGACCAAAACAGCCCTTAATTTATTAATATGTCTTATCTACAGACACCTGATATATAATCAACTCAATCTCTAGCATATTTTCCTATGTAAAACAAAGGAATATCAGTTTTCCAATTCATCAAATTGGAATATCTTTCAAGACCTTTCAAGTGCTGAATCTTCAAGGATCTGGAAAACAAAAGGACCACCAATCATCTCAATCTTGAACAATTAAAATCGGTCATTCTGAATGTGATGTTTTCATACCATTCATCAAGAAATACTTCATCAACTGATCCCGCAAAATATCACTTAGTTCAAGACCAAACAATTTATATGTTACCCGTACCTGATGGATAAAACAAAAAGCTACTCGGTCCAAAATTGACAGGTGTCTTGGGACTCATACATGTATAAATGAAATCGTCAGATTGTAAATGAGTTCGATTCATGTTTGGTTCCGACGTGGAACGGCTAATTTTTGGATGGTTTCTCAAGAATCCTTCAAGAGATGCATGTATCTGTCTAAACAAAGGTCTTTCGTCCCTGTTGAATTTTATACAGTCTTCCGTTAGGCGCCTAAGAGCCTTGGGAGTGTCTGATCTCAGTTTAGTGAGGTCCGGTTTGAGATAGCCCCTTCCTACCATGAAGAGAATTTGATCTTTGTTGTTGACATGAGCGTAAGGCAATTGGCCTGCAAGCATTTCAAATACTACAATGCCAAAAGCATACACGTCAGACTGAAAACTGTAGGGATTGTCTTCCTGCATTCTGATAACCTCTGGTGCCATCCAGAGTATGGAACCGGTAGGTTGATGGAACTGCTGAGATCCAGACCACCTCGTCTTTGCTGTTGCCAGACCAAAATCTCCTATTTTCACCGTCAAGTCATCATGCAAGAATATATTATTGGTTTTCAAGTCACGGTGGATTATATTTTTAGCATGTAGATAATCCATACCTTGTGCAGTCTGTCTACCTATCTCAATCAAAGTGAAGAGTTGGAATTTTGTTTCATGAACGTGTATGTGCTTGTAGAGACTCGATCCTTCACACCATTGTGTCACTATAGCTAACTGAGGTTTACTGACGCATCCCATGAAAAGAAGAATATTTACATGTCTAGTTTTTCTTAACACAGCTACTTCGTTTTTGAAAGCCTGCAACTGGGCCATGGTAGGTATTTTCACATTGAGTGTCTTGACAGCTACCGGTCCATGCCAGTGAGCCTTGTATACTGTTCCAAACGAACCAGATCCTACTCTGGCTCCCACTAATATTTCATCTGCAGGAATCTCCCAGTCTTCGATGCTTTCTCGGGGAGCGAGAAGGGGTTTACTTTCATCTGCTGAACGAGCTCTGGGTCTTCCGGGCTGAAGAGATCCCGTTGGTGATGCTTGGGTGCTCCTGCAGTGTGGAGAGCCATCTACATCAGCACCAGACCTAATGAAAAAAAAAACAGAAATTGAAATTACAAGCTCTTGAATATAATATTCATATTAAAGATTTAAAAAGGAATGTTTCCAGAGTAAACCATTGATGATTTCTTGGTACTTGAGGGTTTATTTGAATTATTTTCCATATATATTAAATACAATTTCGTCCATGATAATAATTATACAATGTTCACAAAATATTTTATTTAAGAAGTGGGTACAGGTGAGTATATAAATGGACTTTATTTTCTAGTTGTAAAAAAGTGTTCTATTAACTTCAACATCTACCTATTGATATGAGAAATTTCCTGTTTATTTCCAAGATACAAAATAACTGTGGAAGAAGATCTACAAAGAGCCATTACGTGGTAATAACTGATCTAGTAGGAGCCTGGTAGGAAAGATATTCACAAACCAAAGAATCAAGTGGATCATTGGCAACATTTCTCATGAATCCATACAAAGCGGAGCTCTCTTGAATACCAATTATTAATCATTCAATTGTGAATTTTCAAATATAATTTTAGTAACTGATAGTTTTCAATCAATGATTCTAACAAATTTATTGGGATAAAGTTAGACAAAGATCTCAGTTTTCAAAACAATTTCGAAACACTTTATTTTCACTCCCAATATGAAAACTTTTGATGAAGCTATTGTATAGCAAAACACGTGTTGCTATTTTTTGTGTAGTTTCGAGTGTTTTCAAGTGATTCTTGAATAATCCACCCCACCCCGTTATGCCATATTGGATTAGTGATTCCACTAATGCAAAGTATAGCATTTTTAGATGACATAAATGTAATATATTTTTCAGTTGCTTGAATTTGTAGATCATTGATCGCAGTTTTTTCACAATATTTTGTATATGTTTATCCCACTTGAGAAAGCGATCGATTTCGATACCTAAATAACGCACATTTTCTGCTTCTTCTATTTTTAACATGCTGGTATTTGAGTTCACATTGAGGCAATGAAAAGTTGGTTTATTTTTAATGTTACAGCTGAAAGATGAGTATTTAGTTTTTTCAAAATTTATGGTGAGGCTCATATCATCGAACAATTTCTTTAAATTTTCAAGGTCGTCTTCTGCTATATTTTTGGCTTCTTCCCATGTGTTTCCAGTATACTGAATAGTTGTATCGTCCGCAGAGGACGTGATGTAACCTTGTGATTCGTTTTCTAATAATTTATTCATGTACATTGTGAAAAGTATAGGTCCGAGCACAGTCCCTTGCGGTACACCACATTCAGTTACTCTTGGTTCACTTATGATGTCGTCAATTTGCACGTGTTGGATTCTGCCTAATATATAAGATTTCAGTAATTTTAAAGTTATTCCTCTGAAGCCATAGCCTTCTAATACATCGAAAAGTTTTTTATGCTCTACGGTATCGAAGGCTTTAGCTAAATCGAAAAAAATACAAATTGTAACCTTACTGTTGTCTAAGTCTTTATATAATCGATCTGTTAAATCGACAATGGCATGCTCTGCAGATATTTCCTCCCTAAATCCAAATTGTTTATCAGATATGATTTTATTTTTGTCAAGAAATGATGTTATTCTCAATTTAATGATTTTTTCAACAATTTTAGCTAAAGTGGAAATAAGCGTTATTGGTCTGTAATTTTCTTTAAGTTTTTTCCTGCCTTTTTTAAATAACGGTTTAATAAGACCAATTTTCCAACAAGCTGGGAAAATACCTGTTTCGAATATTTTATTTATCAGTATTCAAGTGGTTTTTTTATATACTTCGCGATAAGTTTTATTATATTCGATGTTATTTTATCGAGTCCTAAAGTTTAAATGCCAAATAAAAGCAACCATTTCAAGCAATTTTAAACATATGTTTACTGATGAATCTGATGAATGAACTGAAGGATTACCTATAATCTATGAAGGACTGACTGACATTCATCCAAATGTAAAAAGAACCATTTGTTCAGATTTGGATCCATGCTGTTGTCATAAGACCACTTAGATATCAGTTTGTAACCAAAGACAATCAGTTAATAACTTAAAAATGTTGTTATCTGTTTGCAAATAACAAAACAGGTTGTTCTTAAAAATTTGATATCAATAAAAAAATGTTTTAGATAAATGGCTTTTAGTGAACTCCTTGTGGAAATTTAGGAAAGAAACAGGTTGTATATCGCCAATATCAAATAATAAGAATGATAAAAGTTATTCATTGACCAATACCAAATGGCTACCGACTGAAGTCCTTCAACCACAGTACAATTTATAAAGGTTTATAATTTGTCAAAATTCAATTTTGGATTGAAATAACGTCGCGATTTATTGTATGTATATACCGGGTGAGTGAAATTCGAGTTGACAGAGCCTATTATTGGGATGTTTTAAAATCCGAGCTAGGGCTTTTATTTCAAGAGATATTCAGAAAAAACTGAAGAATCCCACTTCCTTTTTGAGTTCATTTCTTCTATTTTTGAACAAATATTTAAAGACTAATCATACTTTGCCATAACAAATTTTGATAGGCTGTAAAAATATGTTGCAAGTAATGTGTTACAAAATGTTTTATTTCTTGGGCACCCCTCAACTTTCGATTTTTAAATACGGGCCTGTATTTTTTAATACATTTTTCCAATCTTTTAGGGCTATGTTTGATGGAGAAATCAGGTAACAAACAAGAGTTTCAGTTGTTTCTGTAATATTGAGCTTGTAAAAGAGAAGATTGCAGTGCTTGAAAATTCAGAAGATACTTGTTTCTGTTATATCCAGAAAAAGAGCAGATATGGCTGAGAAACCCAAAATACAATATGGAAAGAGACTTTCAAAGACGAGAATTAAAGCCAATGAACCCCACTCAAAGAGACGTAAACTCAAAGAATCAGCGTATATTCTCATATCTAGATATAACAGTTCCTCAGAAATGGCTTTATTTGGATAGTGGCGAAATAGCAACAGACTGATATTAGAGAACATCTTGTACTACATCAAATGTTTCAGGAATCAATCAACAACATTGACGTATTTCACATTCCAGTACTCCTTTTACATCTGTCGAGGAAGTTGAGAAATTAAAAGAATCAGCGAAGAAAAAACTAGGTATAAACCTAAATTTTGTTCAATTCAGAAGAAGAAGGAAGATTTTTAGCCCCCAAAAGTAAAAATAATTAAAACTAATTAACAAAGCTTATAGTGAAAATAATATAATAAACTGTATTAATTAGCTCTAATATGGATTTTCATCAAGTATCGGCAAGTTCTATTCAGTTAGCTGCACAGTGTATAGAAAAATTATGATTAAAATATTCATACAGAATCACCTTTAATGACCGTTTAAACGTAATATTTATAATTGTTGTTTCATCACACTTTTACTAGACCCTATTTACTTATATCTATCAAGTTATACATGCCTTGTTAACGATAATGACCTTGGGCAATCTTCTCCGGAACCCTTGACGCTATTTAAACATACGTTGGGAGCTGAACTGGATCTATCATGGTGACCAAGAGTGCCCGGATGCCTGGGTTGTCTTAGAGAAATTCCCAGTTCTGCTTGCCCTGCATAAAGGATACCAGCACTTGTATCTGGAGGTCTGGCAAGAAGTGCTCTGTAATATGCATCTGCCATTCGTACCTTCAGATGAAAAATAAAAAATATTTGAAAAAGGAAATATATTTGGAAACGACGTTGGGAAATATAGTCAGTCAGAGGAAAAATAAAAAGTCTGAAACAATGGTCTATAGAAAAACTCAGTAGTGAAATTAATCTTGTTCAATCAATCATTAGAAATAACATATCTTAATTTGTTGATCACCTCGAGAACAGAATGCTGAGACTGAGATTGAACAAAGTACTATCTGATGAAATCAGAACTGATCAAGGTGTACCACAAGGAAGTGTATATTGATGATATAGTAGTTAATGCTGGAAGATCTTCGCCAATGAGATGATACCCTTCTATATTTCTCAAGGTCAGACTATGAATATATATGTCAAGGTACTTAATTAATGAGACACTGTAAAATATACATATATGGTGTGCAAATTTACGGAAAATAAATATAAAAAACTGAATTCATGTAAATGGGAAATGAAAGGGATTATAAAAGGTTTGTGAAAGGTGGGCATCACATAAAAATTAGTGAGGTGGTAGACACGTTTAAATATCCAGATGTTATTGCAGACCGGAAATTTAATTTCAAAGAGCATGCAAATTATACTGTCAAAAAATAGGGATCCTTTACAGATGATCAAATTATGTACCAAAATGGTCAAAAACTATATCACCTTCCTAATCACAAGAAAATTTTATAAATAAACAGAACAGCTATGAAAAAAATATTGAAAAATAAAAATACATACTTGATGGCATAAGGAAGGAACACCAGTAGCACAACGATGATGAAATTTATAACCACAAGTCCTACAATAAAAACCTTGAAATAATAGTTTTCGACAACACTCACAAAATGCTAGTGAAAAGTAGGTTTTTCGAACAAAATTATGAGAAATACTTGTAGCAATAGGAAATTTATCTAATATTTTAACAGTTATTTCTTCACAGTTCAGTGTACTGATATCTATATCCCAATTCACTGGGATATTTGAATCACTCAGGTAAACACAACAGACTTCACACACTAAATTCCTTAGTTTCATTGCTTTGGCTAAAGCTTCTCGTAAAGTAAGACCTTCTCGCACTTGTACACTCGTTCTTTGTTGATTGGGCAAGTGAGCTCGTAAGAACCTAGGCTTTGATAGATTATCATATTGTGGTTTCCTCTCATAATGTATAGGGTAATATTGTTCACTTAAGTCCTCTGGACTTTCTCTTCCATTACTGAGTTGTTCTCTCAATCTCATTTCTTCAGCTTCTAATTCATGTAGTTTTGATGTCAGGTCTTCATATTCTTTGAGGTACATTGCAGGCGGGTGCTGAAAGTCGGCAAACTTTTCATTTAGGGCATCTATGTTTGTTCTGGTCAGACTGATTACATTCTCTATGTTTCGGAGTTCTTGTTGGATGTCCATATCTTCACTGTCTGTCGACATTGTGTCACTAGTACCACATTCAATGAACGAAGAAACTGCACTTCCATTCACAATTCTTTTATTATTATTTATTTCGCCGAAGTCAAATAAAACAGCCATTGCACTTTCCCATGTTTGTCAATTCAAATTGTCACTATCACTATTGTCAGTTGTCATGCTGTCTATCCAATATTCCGACGGGGCATGTCCCGTTTCCCAAAAAAGAGACGAGTTCTTGAATTCGCTAATGAGTTCATCAGTCCACCAAATTTTTAAAATTATGGGTTACAGATGTGACATCCACCAACCATCACGTTTTCAACTAACAGTATCAACAATGACTCTGTCAATAGTGAATAATCATAAGGAACTAGAGTATGAATATTTCTACTTTGATTTTGAGAAAGCTGATTATTTTGGATTGAATTATTATTTATCTGGTATTGATTGGGAATATCATTTGAGAAATTTAACAGATATAAATGCGGCTACAAACATTTTTTATAATTTTTTGTATGAGGGTATATGTAACTTTGTACCGTATGTTAGGCAAACTAAGTCAAAATTTACCCGTTGGTTCAACAATGATTTGAAGAAACTCATTATTGAAAAAAAAAGCTCATAAAACCTATGAACTAAGTAAATCTTAGATTTCAGAGCCCGATGCAAACTGGCGTAAAAAATTTGTCATGATGATTATATTAAAAGAATTGAAAATAACTTGGCATCAAACACGAAAAGCTTTTGAAATTTTGTTAACAACAAAAGGGAAAATTATGGCTTTCCTGATATTATGTACTGCGGGGATAATATTTATAAGATTGGAAATGACATTGTTAATGCATTTGCAGACCAGTTTCAATGAGTTTATAGACCACGTAAAGATAATGAAATACCAATATTAAATTATGAGAAAACAATTGATATCAATAGTTGTACAGTTTCCTTAGAAATTATCCTACAAAAATTATCGGAATTAGATCCATATAAGGGTACGGGACCATATGGCATTTCACCGATGCTACTGAAAACCTGTGGATTTACCACTAGCTAAACCATTATTCTTATTTTCAGCTTCACTTAGTTTGGGAAAATTGCCCCTCATTTGGAAATCAAGTTATATAACGCCAATTTTCAAGTCTGGTAACAAAGCTGACATAAATAATTTTAGACCGATCAGCATATTAAGTACAGTACCCAAACTACTTGAACACGTCGTTTGTGATAATATAAAGAGTCCTTTAAAACAAGTGATTATCGACGAACAGCACGGATTTAGTGAAGGTAAATCTACCAACATTAATCTACTGTTGTACACCCAGTATGTTTTGAATGCTCTGGAAAATAAACAACAATACACCGATTTTTCAAAAGCATTTGACATCGTGAACCATAAAGTTCTTTGTGAAAAATTAAAGGCAATTGGCTTTTTTGGGAGTTTGCTGGACTGGTTCTCAAGTTATCTTTGTGATAGATTACAGTTTATGAAAATTGAAAGATTTATCTCTCACGAGATATCTGTTACCTTAGGAGTACCTCAAGGGAGTCACTTGGGACCTTTTCTCTTCAATATCTTTGTAAATGATATCAAAGAAAAAATTACTCACTGTGAAATACTGATGTTTGCAGATGATCTAAAGATTTTTAGAGCAATTGATTCGTTGTAGGATTGTGCGAAAATTCAAATGGACCTTAAATCTTTTTATGATTGGTGCATGATGAATTATGGATGTTAATGTGGCAAAATGTAAAAGTATTTCCTTTTCAGAGTCATTAAACCTTTATACAGCTGGTTATAGTATTGCAGGGAAAAAGTTGGAACGTGTACAATCTATACGAGATCTGGGTGTTATAATGGATGACAAGATGGACTATCATTTACAGTATGAACACATATCTAAGGATTCATATGCAGATCAACAAAAGATTTTACCAATATTTTTTCTATCAAAATACTATACTTTGCATTGGTTAGATCAGTGATTGAGTATTGCACCTGTATCTGGCCTCCAACATACTTCAATCACAGTTATGATATTGAGAAAGTTCAGAATAAATTTCTTAGATATATTGCCTACAAAATAAACATGCCAGCTAGAAGTTATTCGCTCTTTGAAATTCGCTCTACTATTGGATTGCTCAAACTCAGTACATAATATTCCTACATAAATTGTTGAACAACGAAATTAATTGCCCAATTCTTCTCTGTCAAGTCAATCTGCATGTTCCCCCGAGGAGGACACGTAACAACCAAACTTTCAGTCTCAACTTTCATAGGTGTAATTATGGAAAACATTCTCTTTTGTCGAGAATTCTATCGAATGCTAATGGGACCAATATTGATTTTTTTCATATCTCTCAGAGCACTCTTAGATATACTCTGCGTGGTTCAGAGACTTTTTTTATCACAATTTTATTTCAATTTTCTCTATGTAGGTTGATTTATTTGATATGTAGATACTAGAATAGTTAACTTTTAAAGGTTAATATATTTTGTAAAAATTGGGGGTTACCCGTTGAATAAATAAATAAATAAATGCTAAACTTAGTTACACCCATGCTACATATCAATCAAGGTTTATAGTTGATTTGGTTTCATTGACAACTGACATTTACAAAAGTATATTACAAATATTTCCTAATAATTTATAAACATTCAACTAGATAATACATAACATTAAAATGAACAGTTCAAAAATAACTTTACAAAACGCTCATAGGTGCGAACTCGTTTCCTTCTTTTCATAAAAGAGGATGTATGCATCTCCACTCCCAACCGATTTTAGTGAACTTGGTGACACTTGTGAATCATTGTATTCGTGCCACGTGCCATTAAAAGGATGTCTGCAGAATGATGTATAATAACATTTACAAAATGTTCAGAAAAGAAGACTTTCTTCATTTTCCTATAAATGACCAAAACTTATAAACTCAAATACTACATATTCGACAATAAAATTTATGTGATCATCTATCGACACATCCACACGCAACTTTTGGTAAGACTCAGAATGTCTTCTCTTATTTATATCAAAATACCATCCGTCAGGCTCAATATGTCAAATATGTCAACGGCAAGTCTGATGATTGCTGTTAACATGTAACTACGTTACTTTGAATTGGAACATTTTGAAAGTGAATGACATCACTATCATCCAATTTGCAATTGATTCGTAGTAGGCTTTGACAAAAATATGTTTCTAGAAAATATTGTCCCCAAACTATACATAGAATTTGCTGCATAATTTCGTGCTCGGGTGGTACAGTAGCCATTAGGTTGGAAATTCTATTTCACTGCGTATCATCTAACCCTTGTTAGGAATAGCACATTGAAATGTGAGATCTCGTTAGTCATTAGTTCGTACAATTTTCCACTTTTGAGGGATGTCGTTTGTAGATGGGCGACAGTTGATTAATGGAAAAATCATATATTTTAACAGGTTTCTATAGAATTTTCTGTTGCTGTTAGAAGTGTGAAGAATTGATGGTGTTTTAATGTTTTAAGAAATGACTATAAACAAATTGAAAATATACCGAACTGTCTCTGTCTCAATGTTGCGGCCCAGTGGCAGTCTTGGCCGCCATAGGTCCCGGGCTAGGTAATAAGTACTAGCTGCCCCTTTCTCATCACCCATCATGAAATCGCAGACTATATACACGATGAATTCATTTCATTGCTAGTTTGTAATGTTTTCCGAGTTTTCAGATTCAAATAAAACATTTAAAACGGTTTTAGGCTTTATTTATTCAACTACAGGTATATTCTCATAAAAAATAAGATAGTAAAATCAATAATTAAATCTTCACAATTCAATTTCTTCAAAAATTCAGCTTCTATGTTGAGCAATGCAAAATCATTCAATCTTGCTCCGTCATTGTTGTGCGAAAATAATTTTTAAATCGCTACAAATAAGAAATCGATCGTTTTTCAGAACATTTACTAACGGGAGTACACACATACATACGATGAGCAATATCTACGTTTGGATAAATGGTTCGAAGACCTTCAATTCGCATCTATTTCAACAAACTGATAGCATTGTTCCGATTCTCGTTTTTCATACTACAATGAGCCTAAAAATGAAGACATCCTTCTAAAAAATTGTTTTCCAAGTCCGTAGAATAAATCATTTGAAATGCTTTGGCCTTTCCTTCGACTTCGACGCGCCCAATTTCGTTATATTTCAGTAATAAAATGATATTTATATTGAAGTAATTGATAAGTATCACGTTGTTTTTTGAGTTCTTCTGGCGATATATTAATTATTACTTGAAACCCAGTGATGAAATTTTCACAGCAAAATTTTTGTTTATATATTTATTTGGGAACTTTCGATGTTTAGAGACGATGTAATGTCCATGTCAATGACCAATGCAAATAAAAGATACCATGTAGGTATATGCTCTGTGATTCCATGATTTTTCCGATACATAATAAAGTTCAAATACTTCCGTTTATTTAAGGCAGTTATTTTATTCACAAAAATTTTGTGAAATTTGAACAAGCCATGCTGAACCTTTTTCAATGCCTTAATGAGAAAAATCTTTTTGACGTCTTGAGAAGAGCAAATAAAAGTCAGACGTCAAAATCTGAATACCTATACCTCTGTGATTCTGTGATTTTGTTTTTTAGTTGCAAGTAATCATGGCTTCGGAGCGGTATAGTTTTTCGCTGACAACTTTCAGGTGATTATAATTCAATTATTGAAGGAACAGTATTCATATTGTTTTAATTTTCAGTCCATCTGGAAAACTAGTTCAAATTGAATATGCCCTAGCTGCTGTAGCCGCTGGAGCTCCTTCAGTGGGCATTAAAGGTATTTAACCTCTACCTAGTGAATGATACATCATTTTCATGCACATAATTAAATTTTTCTTATAGCTTCAAATGGTGTAGTTATCGCCACAGAAAACAAACATAAGTCGATCCTCTATGAAGAACACAGTGTTCATAAAGTGGAAATGATTACAAAACATATAGGAATGATATATTCTGGTATGGGACCTGATTATCGCTTGTTAGTGAAACAAGCTCGTAAAATGGCCCAACAGTATTATCTAGTTTATCAAGAGCCTATACCAACAGTTCAACTCGTTCAACGAGTTGCCACTGTTATGCAAGAATATACTCAGTCCGGAGGAGTTAGGCCGTTTGGGGTTTCATTATTGATATGTGGTTGGGACAGTGAACGACCATACTTATTTCAATGTGATCCATCAGGAGCTTATTTTGCCTGGAAAGCTACTGCCATGGGCAAGAATTTCATCAATGGAAAAACATTTTTGGAAAAAAGGTAACAGCAAATTTAAAAAACATGAAAATAGAAAATAATCAAACAAATCTCATAATATTTATAGACGTAGACAAATTTTGAATGCTAATGACGGGAAAGTAGTTTTTTTCTTGAAGTGATGCATTTTTGTATATCCATGTTTTAAATTTTAGAATTGTAACTTATTACACCCCACTTCATATTTGTGCTAGTTGATTGTTGAAGTTGATTCTTCCATATCACATTCCACAATGGTTATGTATTTCAGAATATATTACCCTCTTCTTAGCAATATTGGTTTTTCATTAATATTTGCTTTTTGGCAAACACTTTCACCATAATTGATGTTGAACAAGAGAAGAATAATTATTTTTTGGTCTATGAAAACCCTATACCCATAGACCAAAATGCAACGTAAGTTTACTAACCCTTCTTGATTCAGGTATGCTCAATTTCATTTGAAGAATATGAAAATAATGTTCAATTTTTAGCAAATATATTCAACATGAGAAATAAATCTGAGGTTCGAGATGATTAAGGTACCAAGAAGCTTGATGCTTTTCTCAATATTTACGTTAGTATCAAAAATGAAATCTGGTATTGCTTTTCTCAAATGAAAACAGCTCAATGAACTTGATTATTTTTTTTTCATTATTGTCCGTTGTTTTTCCTTCTTCATTTGGTCAAAGTTTTTTAAAAGTCGTCTTCATTATCTCAGATGGCATTATTAAGGCTAGTCACTTCTTGCCTCCAGAGATGCAACTGACCATCAATGATTCTTGAAAATATTATTAGGATGTTGTCACTCATAGGTAATTCTATCGGGGTATTTCCTGATTTGTTGACTCAAATACCTGATTGGTTGAGATGTTAATTACTCTTGACTAATCATTCATTATTTGTTGTCACTTATTATTCCTTATCAACTCTTATGTTAATTCTTTGCTTTTCAATTTCGATGGCTTCTCTAATTTGTCAAATTCTCGGATGTTGTATTTGGTCTATCTGTTCGGTAAATCAGAATTGATTGTATGTTTTGTGTGTAGATGATGTTCGAAACAGAGGTGTTTGTTCTGTCCTCGAGGAATTTTTGTCCATTTGGGCTCTGATATATAATTTTCTCTTGATCAGTAAGATTGAAAAGAAATTTCTACCTTCTACCTGACGTCAGTTTTGTGTTATATTGACTTAATAAAATAATGAAATGAAATTTTCAAATAAAATCGTCCGTTTATTAGATGTAGGAGTGGCATTTTTTTATTGATTTTTTTTAAAGATATAGCGAGGATTTGGAACTTGATGACGCAGTACACACAGCAATTCTGACGTTGAAGGAGAGTTTTGAAGGCCAAATGACAGCGGACAACATTGAAGTGGGAATTTGTGATGAAGCAGGATTCAGGAGGCTAGATCCCTCTCATGTGAAGGATTACCTAGCTAATATTCCATAAGGCATTTAGGTTATATAACAAGATTTCTCTTAATTTTTTATGAAACTCATGTTTCACTTGAATAAAACCGGATTTGAAGGAAATATATGTGTAATTTATCCTATAATAGTTGCAATAAATTAATAGATGAAAAAGAAAACCATAACAATCTAAGGCGACCTTAAAGACTATAGCAATTACTGCCAAAATAAGGTCTGTTAGCTCTTTAGTGATGATGTTGAACATTAATTTTGTAAAGAAAGGTTGGTTGAGTAACTGGAACAAATTTTTCTTATGAATTGAACTGTGGAAGCTGTCACAAATGCTATGTTGGATAAACCGGACAGTATCCTAAAACACGAGTTTCAGAACACATGAGAGACTCGAAGAAACTAAATATAAAAAACCTCGCATTCCTTGTTGAAAATGAAAAAGAATATGGACACATTTTTTATTTTGATCATCCAACTATTCTAGATGTTTTACTATATTTGTCCAAAAGACATATCCTAAAATGTGATAAGTGAACACCATAAGATATGTCGATGGCCTTAATGCTGCATATTTCAATTTAATAAGTGAAATACCTAAAAAAAATTACCCTTTTTTCATTCTTTTTCTTTCTGTCGTTGATTAAAGAATAGACACCACCTTATCAGAATCACAAATGAAGCCATTCGTTTGTTTCATGTCGTTTTGTTTTTGTGTTGTCTCGGAAATTTGGTTGTTGCAATGTTTTTTATTTTTTTTAAATATGTATTCAATATGTCTGATGATTTTTCAAAATAATAATATTATCAATAAGAAGAAACTACTTTTTGGTGAGTAATTTAATCAAGAACTCATTATTTCTTGTAAAATTGAAACCATAATAATCAAGTTTTGTTACATTGTTAGAGTTCTGAAAAAAAATTTAATCAAATTCGAAACTTCGGCAAGAAAATAATTGTTTTTTTTTTTGAAAAAATTGATCCTGTTACCCAACCAACCTTTCTTCAGAAAAATTATTGGATCACTAAACTAGTTAACTGAATTAATTTCGTATTTGGTAGAATTTTAGTTTGTTTTATTCTTGGCTGTGATTCTACCAGCAAATTTCATTAGAATTCAACCTAGCTCGTTCCTTCATTGATGGAACCCACAATCCACAAAGTATCTAAGAAATTGCCTTTGTCTTTCATTATTCATAAACATATTTCAACTGACTGATGATTTTTTTACCTGTATTAAAAATTGATTTGGTATATTTCTGCAAAAATTTGTTCAGTTGGCCTGGTAAATTTCATTTTTGCGTGTTTAATATCTTACTTGAACATTTATGGAATAAGGGTGAAAAATTTGAAAGTATGAGAATGCTAACTTGCGAAAAAAACTATTTTCTATGATTTGAAATGGAGATGAGTTACAAAATGATTTTCAGTATACATACCTAAAATTCAAAATTAATCAAGTATTAATTCAGATGCTTGATCTATGATCATGGCACAGGATATTTGCTATGAATACTATAATACGCCAAAAAGCACAGATATTATGTCATTTACAGAACGTTCATATGGAAAAAAAACATCACTAGGTAAACAACTATTTTGATTCAAAAAGATGATATTAATCTGTTTTTGACAAAAAACAAGTCGTGGCCTTAGAGACACTTTGATGGTGAACGTGTAACTCTAAACCCATTATTAATTCATCTCCATTTCAGTTTGGTAATTTGTTTTTTACACATGCTAGCTTCTGTATACTTTTAAATTTCACCCTCATTGTTTGTCATTTTTTTAATATCATTTTTCCTATATAGTATTTAGTATATAGATTTAAATCTAGGGGTTTCATATATACATCGTATTTTTTACTAGGAAAGCAGCAGGGCAAAACAGTTCGTCATCTCATATCACAAAACAATAGCGTGACTTGAGTCTTCCAAATGACCTAAACTCATTATAGAAAACATTTCGATGGTTTGACTATAGATCTAATTTCAATATGTTTTTAACATTAGATTACTTATAAATTCATTTTCTCCTTTGTCTATATTTTCCAACTGCTCAACATATGGTTTTAGTGATGTTTGTCTCCAATTTCATTATTAGAATACAATAATAATTTTGTGAAGCATTTGACGAATAATTGTCAACTCTTCACTTTGAGGGTGTAGACTATTGGTTAGAAGGGCGTGAATATCAAAAATGGGGCAAATTCAGTAGCAACTTATTTTCCAGTCAACAGCAAAAAAATGTTTCTATTTCCATGTAAAATTGAATTACAGCATTCTTTTTTCTCGTATTGTTTAGTGAGCCAGTATAAAAATTATGTTCTGGAAAATGCACAGTTATAGCATTGTATATAGAGTAACCTAGCTTTGTATATAGGGATAGTCTGTATACAAAGGTTATAGATTAAACTAGATTAGTCTACTTTATTGTTTAGCATAGTTCTACAGAAGATCCTTATATAAATGAAATGGAAAATGAAACTCAAAATCGGTAAACCGAATAGCAAAATATTATGTTTTTATACTGTATATACTCTATAGTATACTATCCGCAACCTTGCATTAGGATTTGCCATTTGTATGAGTAGAAAGCGCATTCTCATGGCTCTATCATTGTATGTATGCTTGTAGATGTTCAAATGATGCATGATTGAAAAACAAGTTAGATACAATACGTAGGGTGCTGCAAAAATGAAATGTCAGAGAGAATGAGAGATGGAAGTGCATATATAGTAGGTGTAGAAGATCCATCTGCGTTTCTCTTTTGTGTACTAATATAAGTTGTAGTTACTTTTTGCGTTTAGTTCAGTTGCTGGTAGAAGGTGCAATTCAGTTCAAAAATAGTAGTTTTTTTTATATTTCTATGTTTACTTCATTGTATTCTGGGTAGGTTATCTTAATATCTTTACGAGTCACCCAGGGATCCTCATAACTATTCGCTATCTCGTCAGCCATGTAACGAAGCAGAATCAAACTCTGAATTCTCCTGAGTAGAACATCTACTGGAAAAGAGAATGCGAACTCACGATCTTTGGATCATGAGTCGAGCACAAAATACTTGCGCTATATTTTCATTAAATGATATTTAATTTAAAAATTCTTATGAAAATGAATTTTTTCAGACATCGATAATTCTTCAAACTCTTTTCAATCACTTGCTCTACAGATGAAATCAACCCTTTCGAAATTTTGAAATGAAAGTGAGGTAGAGATATACCATCTATTCCATTTTTTATTTTTCTGTTGTTCATTCAAAAGGAAAGCATTTCAAATAATAATAGTTTTAATTACAATCATTCGTTTAAAAAAAGATATAGGTATGTTTTATACCTGTCCTTTAGAGATTCCAGAGTAGAGAGGGCATCATTCCACCAAGGACTGTAATCATCAGAATAATCATTTTAACAAGGTGGTCAGGTCAGAGTGTGGAGTAAGAAAAGAAAATTTCGATATTTCATTCGTTTTTCCTTCTTTTTTCTTCGGACGCTATGGTCGAGAAGAACATATATATGTTACCGCATAGGCTGGATATGATGGCGTATATGGCACCTCGCGGCAGGCCCTGCATCTTATATCAGGAACCTCAACACCCATCAGGCAACTGCGGTAGACTAAAGTGGTAAATACAAGATCCTGACAGGCCATGATGAACCCCTCAGTTTCCGACTTCAGCCCACTCGACCAGAGAAAAGCGAAGGTGAGGTGGTTTGATGAGTTGAGGTCTTCATTGTTGTTAAAGAAGACCCCATGCACTGACTTATTCTTGTGGGAGGGTCACAAAGCAACAGTCTCAGAACCACGACTGTCTTTACAGGTGGATTCAAAATCCTTTATAAATTAAATGAAATAGCTCTATCATTGTGCTCTATTTTATAATGCAGTTAATATCCAATTCCAACAGATGGCCCCACTTACAGACATCTATGGAAGTTAATATCCAATTCCAACAGATGGCCCCACTTACAGACATCTATGGAATACTTAGTTCGAACAAATGAAGCACCACTTGAAGCAAAAATTTTAGATCCACGACTGTCTTGACAGGTGGAAAATAATATACTGGGTATTATTAGTGTAGTGACCGTCCTAGCGAACGGACGTGGTTGCATCTGTCGGTATACCAAAGAATGTGTGTATAGTAAATTAATGCCATCATGGGATCAAAAACTAGAAGTTCCAGCGACATTAAAGCTATCTTAATTGATATTTTCGATCGAAAAGGAGTCCAAACATTCATCACGGACTACGTTATGAAAATTGTAATGGAATGTCTCAAGAAACTGTGAAAACTTTGAAGACTTCTCAATAATTCTTGGTGAAAAAAATCAAATGGTTTTCGATATGCAGTCAGAAGTGAACGTATTGAAAAACACGGTAAAAGAACTATTGAAATCTGAAGTGAGCAACCTAAATGATGACCCAGAAAAACAGATGACAGAGGTATCGGATTTCGGCAATACTCCAGGTCATGCATCGAGTCAGACGATAACAGATGTTGACCATTCTACAGGGGGAAATGAACAAGTTCCAACCAAAGAGAAAGCAAGTGGCGATTTTGTGGAACGAAAGAACAAACGTCGTAATAGGAAGAGAGCGGTGTTCAATTTTCGGCCAAGGAGAAATTCGACCACAGAAGGGAACGTGAAACCCGCCACCAGCAACGAGGAGGGTGATTTTTTAGATGCCGAGAACTGAAAACTGAAAATATATCAGTTTACTACCAGAACGTGAGAGGCCTCCGTACGAAGCATAAGGAATTGTTTCACAGCATACTTTCTGATAACTGGGATGTGATATGTAATCAGAAACATGGCTGAATGATAGTTTTTTTGATAACAAACTGAGTGATTCACGCTACCTGGTATTTCGAAATGACAAAAACTACAGTATCTCCGGTGTGAACCGCGATGGAGGTGTCTTATGCTGTATTAAAGCCAAATTCAAACCAGTACTTATCGCTAAGAGTATGAATACCAATTTTCAGTGGTTGTCTGTCAAAATCTCTATAAAAGATCTCGACGTCACGATCTGTTGTGTGTACATAACATCGGGAGCGAATTAAACGGTATATGAACAGTTTTCTGAATCCCTGGAAAATTGTAATGAGCTCAACGCCATCGAAAAGTTGTTGTTAGTGGGTGACTTCAATGTCTATGAAATAACTAATTCGAAATATAACTTGAGAAACGGATCATCAAAAGCGAGATTAATCCATTCCATCATGTGTGAGTATGATATATATTCCATAAATGATATATCTACTGGCTCCAATACTTTAGACTTAATATTAACAAATATCACGGAAGCGACTGTGAGCGAATGTGAAACGCCCTTAGTGCGGTTGGATAACTACCATCCAACTCTGGAAATAATGTTCACCGAATCGTCCGAAGGTGAGCACGCTACTGCATTTGACTTCAGGAGGGGAAACTTTGTGGAGTTCTATAGAATGATATCTCAACTTTCGTGGATAGATATTCTATGTATGGATAATGTCGACGGATGTGTAGATAGTTTCTATGATTGCCTGAAGGCCGTTTTTGAGAAATGCTTGAAAAATAAATACTTTCATCCAGAATCGATTTCCCGAATGGTTCTCAAAAGAACTCATGCACAAAATTAAATTAAAAGAACACGTTTTCAAAATAATGAGAAAAAAGTTATTATAAAGAAAAATACAACGAACTCAGAATGGATGTGAGACGTTCGCATAATTTGTGTTATGAATCCTATATAAAAGAAATAGACAGAGACTTACAGAGCGATCCCAAAAAATTCTGGACTTATATCAAGGAATGTCGAAGAAACTGTGCTGTTGCTAACAGATTCACTTATGATAATGATGAATTATTCAATGATAAGGATATTGCAGACGGTTTTGCTACTTTCTTCAAATCAACTTTCACGAATAGCGGTGTGCCGGTAAACCCCACACTAGTTCCTGAGTACGACCTAGACATTATTGAAATTGATGATATTAAGGAACAAGAGGTTGAAAATGCTATTGAGACACTGAAACCTAAAGCAGCCATTGGAATCGATGGCATTCCAGCCTACTTTTTCAAGGCTTACTGTGACTTGTTAAAGCAACCATTGACATTGATATTCAATCTTTCTCTGAAAGAAAATCGTTTTCCAAGCTCTCTCAAAATTGTCAAAGTTACCCCCATTAACAAAAACGGCAATAACAACAATGTAAGAAACTACAGACCTATAACAGTCTTACCAGCTTTGTCGAAGATATTTGAACGGGTAATATACAGAGTGACCCATTTGAAAGCGGGCCACCTCTCTAAAACTGTTATTTATTATCCGATTCAGAAGTTTTTTTTTTCAATAGATAGAGCGTCAATAGTTCTATTAGAGTGCTGTGAAGTCGAAATATAAATAAAATTTTCAAGGCCTACTTCGAATTTTTTTCAAGGTCAAAAATCCAAAAAACATACTAGCTACTTTTGAAAAAACTGTACATCATGTAAGTGGAAACTATTCTGTTTGTTGTTCAGTATAAATAAATTTCTATTCTAAATTTCTATTCTATCCTAAATTTCATTAGTTCGACATATGTATTCCATAGCTGTGGAATGATCTCAGAACCACGACTGAATTGACAGGTGGATTCAAGATCCTTTATAAATTCAATCAAACATCCCTATTTTATAAAGCAGTCATTATATCTAAATCCAACAGATGGCCCCACTTATAGACCGTAATGGAATACTTAGCTCGAACGAATTAATCAACGCTCTTTAGATAGGATGATGGGAGGGTTATTAAAGCAACAATCAACCACGACTGTTTACAGGTGGATTGAAAATCCTTTATATATTCAGATATTCCTATTTTATAATTCAGTCAATATCCAATTCCAACAGATGGCCCCACTTATAGACTGCTATGGAATACTTAGCTGGAACGAATTAAACAACGCTCTCTAGAGATGGTGGAAGGTTAACAAAGCAACAATCTCAGAACCACGACTATTTTGACAGGTGGATTCAAAATCCTTCACGAATTCAATCAAATATTCCTATTTTACAAAGCAGTCAATATATCTAAATCCAACAGATGGCCCCACTTATAAACAGCATTGGAATACTTAGCTCGAACGAATTAAACAACGCTCTTTAGATGGGTAAAGCAATGATCTTAGAACCACTACTGTGGATTTAAAATCCTTTATACATTCAGATATTCCTATTTTATAATGCGGTCAACATCCAATTCCAACAGATGGCCCCACTTATAAACAGCTATGGAATACTCAGTACGAACGAATTAATCAACGCTCATAGTGGGGCCATCTGTTGGAATTGAATATATTGACTGCGATATAAAATAGAAATATTTGATTGAATTTGTAAAGGATTTTGAATGCACCTGTCAAAACAGTCCTGGTTCTGAGATCGTTGTTTTGTTAACCTTCCACCATCACATATAAAGAGCGTTGTTTAATTCGTTCGAGCTAAGTATTCCATAGCTGTCTATAAGTGGGGCCATCTGTTGGAATTTAAAATTAAAATTAAAAAAATTAAAATATGAATTCATAAAGGATTTTGAATCCACCTGTCAAGACAGTTGTGGTTCTGAGATTGTTAATTTGTGAACCTTCCACCCACAGCTATGGATTACTTAGTTTGAACTAATGAAATATGATACCTAGTTTATTTTACACCTGTCGAAACAGTCGTGGTTCTGAGCTGATGGTGAAAGTCATCTTGAATTTAGTCAGGTTGGAGCCTGGCTCCCTTACCCTTTGAACTGATATTTGCCAGAAGGACAAATGGGTCATGACTGATGTGGGTGTTAATGGTATGGCGGCATGAGTGTCCTCAGACATCAGTACCGCCCTTCACGGTGTACCCCTGCCTGGATGGGGTGAATTGGATGAAAACGTTGTTCATCTTTCAACGGAAGATATAGGGGCCTCATTCGATAGAGTGTCGGGGCCTTCTATATCGGGAGGGGTCGTCTACAGTATAATCCATAGCTTCCCTGACTAATGTTCTGAGCTGAGATCGTTGCTTTGTTGTTTAATTCGTTCGAGCTAAGTATTCCATAGCGGTCTATATGTGGGGCCATCTGTTGGGTTTGGATATATTGACTGCGTTATAAAATTGAATATTTGATTGAATTCGTAAAGGATTTCGAATAGACCTGTCAAGACAGTCGTTGTTCTGAAATCGTCGCTTTGTTGTTTAATTCGTTTGAGCTAAGTATTCCATAGCGGTCTATAAGTGGGACCATTTTTTGGAATTGGATACATTGACTGCGTTATAAAATTGTAATATTTGATTGAATTCGTAAAGGACTTTGAATCCACCTGTCAAAACAGTCGGGTTTCTGGTATTGTTACTTTGTGACCTTCCCACTCACAGCTATGAAATACTCAGTTTGAACTAATGAAATATGATACTTAGTTTATTATTTTCCACTTGTCAAAACAGTCATGCAGTCGTGTTTCAGAAATTTCTGCTTTAAGCATTGCTTCATTAGTTTGAACTAAGGATTCCATAGAAGTCTATATATAACTGGAGCCATCTGTTGGAATTTTTTTCATTTTCTTAAAGAATTTATCACTCTCCTCATTTTTTTGGTGAGTAACATTATTCAAGTCAACTGGTTTGGCTATTTGACAAAAGTTACAACAGCATTCAGCATGCGATTTGACTGTCCGAGTGCGACGCGACGCAGGTTGAGTTGAAAAACAGCCTTTGCTGATACTCCGCCTATTCACCATATACTGGAAGTTTTTTTTCTTTTTTTGTTTTTGTTCCTGTATACTGTTTTATTTAATTTTTGTCTATTCCATTTGTATTTTTATGGTGAATAAAGACGTATCATTATTATTACGTACTGGGCACATGGTAGAACAAGGCCCTGGTTAGAAGTTGTGTCAATCATGGAGACATGAACGAACATGCCCAGAAACATGTGGTTGAATACTATATACTCTATATCAATTATTTTCTCATGGATTCATATTTATGCCAAGAAAATATTTTTGTAAGAATGTGGTAATGGTCAACCCATTTCAAATTGGAAAGGATTATGTAAGAGAAACAAAAAAACATGTAATACATATTTATTTTCCCATCATTTGGACCCTATACAATTTTTTATAACTAAGTACGTTGTCAGGTAATACAATCTTTGTATGGAATGCTTCTTTCTGAATAAGAGGGGCAAGATGGTGGGGTGGGTTATACCAATATCTGACTAGTATCAACAATATAAACGACCAGAAAAGAAGGTCGATACTCATTATGTTGTTCAGTTGTACTTATATTTCTAGACCAACAATTTTTTCAACACATTTTACATTAAACTAAGTTTACGACGCCTACTGTTTTCATTATTACAATAAAGATATGCATTCCCTGGTCGACAGGACTACTAAGGCTAGGTACGAGGACCTCGTTGTCCTCACTGATTGCTTGCTGGTTCACAGAAACAAGCCACTCAGCAGCTCAATACACTTTCTGCAATCGCCTGTATATACCAGGCAGACAGCATCAGTACAGGCCATTTGTCAGATGAAAATTTGACGTAGCTCATTCCTGAGCACAAGTAATGTTCGGATATTAACTCTGAAGTTTCTGAAAGTGATGAAGAAAAAAAAGATCATTGTAAAATTTTATTCAGGCTAGTTTTTAGAAATCCTCTGAGCTATTAGTTCTTCAATTCAAAAAGTGATGCAATACCAGGTAAGAGGTAGTGATATCTTGGTGCAACGGTATTTTATAGCACTTTCTATCATTTTGAAACTAGAAGTAACTTATCAAAATTACTATCTCAAAAGCATCGAGTTTAAACAATTAAAACAATTGCTGAACTGATGACTTGGATTTGATCCTGCCTGAAGCCAATCAGTATTAAACTTGTATTACACCCTTTTGAAAATGTAACTTCAAATTCAAATTTCAATTTTTTTAACGATACCCAATCTTTTCGAAACAAAACTATGATCTGAATATAAACTTTCACAAAGTAAATGAACGGGGTAGTTAAAGATCAGTGCTTTAAATTACCTTTCTACGGAGATATCACTTCGTATTATCAATCTTTTTTTGGTGTCAAAGGCATCGACTACAATGGTCATTTGTCCCAACCATGTAACATAGCATAATCAACCTACATTCAACTTGAGTGAGATGGTCGAAAAAAATTATTTCTTGTCACTCACGACATGTTATCTGCGAAACAAGGATCTACCACATTGTACCGACTGCAAATTAATTTTTCAAAGTAAAATTTAAGCAAGTCTATAAAATACCGAAGATGCATTGAACTCCTCAACATACTTTGTAGAAGGAATACTGACAACTGGCCTATAACTGATATGGTAAATAATCTACCGAAATAAAATTCAATTCGATCCAATGATATGAACCCACATCTACCGTTCCTTCTAACAAATGGTAACCAAAGAAGGAAACTTAAAACTATCAGAAGTATTAAGAGATACAAGCTTATTGCCTCGTTATATTGTAGACGAGAGAAAACGCGGAAAAATTCCATTTTTGGTAATTTATTCACCATCATAAAAGTTTCAGATCATTTTTATTATGAATAATTTTTTGTAAATTCATACTCATATCTTAAATATTATCAAATCTTTTTTTATTATATTATTAATTGCTAAAATTTAAGATGTCACTTGACAAGGGGCACAGATCATGATATGTTTAGAAAGTGGTGTTTATTATTATAAACCTATTACCTAAAGCAGAGAAGGCGATTGTGGCTAGTTTATAATACCGTTGATAAGTTTATCACATCATACATTTAGTACCATGCATGCAAAACCTCAACAGAGAGAAAATAAAGATTTATCAAAATATACTAGGGAGTCATTCATTCTCTTCCAGAGAAATACTGATGTGACTATTACAACTGGTGTAAACCGATCCAGGCTCACCCCTATAACCTTTTGGTCTTTCCTAGTGTCAATATGGAATTTTGGTAGCTCAAATGGTATCACAATATGTACCGACTGGATCAAAAACATTTTTTTAGTGACTTTAGTGTCACAGAAATTTACCTTAACTTTGGAATTTTAAATGAAACATTCAGTATGCTCATACATTTTTGGATACATTTCTTTTTACATAGAAACATCTTATTTTAATACCGCGAAGTATTTTTTTAATTGGTTTATGGACCCATGATCACTAAAAAATATTCAATTTGATTTCAGGATCTATGTAGAAATTATATCAATACTTCTGGAGACACCATTTGAACTACAAAAATAACATGGCAATCGGTAGCCATTCGGCTCCAAATTTCTTTTTTAACGCTTGCACAAAAAATTACTTAGGGAAAGACCTACTGAAGTAGAACCACTTGTATTACCTATGCAACATTTCCAATAGGATAATGAATATAGATTATTGACTTATTTGAAAAATCATAATCTTTTCTTCAGGAATCTGTTGAAGCTCAGCAGCAGACATAAAAAATGTTTCCACAATTTCTTTGAGAACATATAATTTCACACATAACTCTGAAGATAAAAAACACAGTTACAAGACGACATTTAAAGGTCGGATTGCATATAACAGGTATTATAATTTATCAATAATTAAGCTGATATGTTTTATATAGTCCCAAAAACAGCTGGTTGATCCAGCTTGATCACCTAGATCCGCACCCACCATACCCATGCTCGCATTGAGCTTCAACATGTCTTCAAGACATGTTTGGACGGAAACAAGACGCAGAACAATCGCCCAGTCCTTATTTTAGTTTTCACTTTCTCAGGAAAAACCTAAATCGAGTGGGCGATATGTTTGTTATCTGCAGTTTGGACCAGGATATAGAGTCAACATGGTGTTTCACTTATACTTTTAACGCTCCTAAATATCTCTTTGGTACCTACTGTTTTTAGAAAAAACCAAAAACACGGTCGGGTGCCCGTTGTAGCTTGGGCAAAAAATTAAAATTAAAAAGTTCTGCATATCAGAGAAATTGTCCTTGCCTATATGTGATTTCCATTATTTGAACAAATGTTTCAAATATTTTGGATCATCACACCAATTGTTGAACTTTGAATTTTAAACCCATTAAAATTTTTTGAGACGTTTGAAATTGATAACATTGAAAATAATTTGAGATTCAAGAAATTGATTGTAAATAATCGAAAAATGAATAGTCTACAGTATTAGTCCTGTTGACTGTATATTCTGGTTATTACCTACTATGTGTGGGATGTTAACCCCAAACCTATGAAATACAACTACAATAATGATAGTAATAGATATATCACATAAACTTCACACAAAAAGCACTACACTATTGAATATAAACTACTTAGAGAATTACCAATTCAACGTTATACATTTTTCGACTGATGTATCAGCAGTTAGTATGGATGTAAAAAATTATAAAATTATATAAAAAATAATACATTAATGCTATTAGTAATAAAAATACAACTTATCGTGAATAAATATATTGATATATTAGGATTTATCTAACTTAAAACTTTGGTAAAACAATTATTATGTACCCATATTAAGATGAAGTGATTTTTCTTATGCAACAGTGAGACGGTTTACACTTTTCTACTTAATTTAGAATTTCGTAGGTAATTGACGGTCGTAAGCTGATTGTGCTACTTATCACTTTCATAACTTCATTATTGTGCTGGAACACAACAGAGCATTAAAACAAAAACACCGAAATAGTGGATATATATACTTCACTGAAAAATGTTACTCAACTGATTCCTGACATTTAAAACTTGATTCGAAGTAACATTGAGTCACGGTGAAAATTGAATAAGCATAAATGACGAACAGGTCAAGTGCTCCATACGAGTTTCTTTTCAATACCCTGTTAATGATAATATAGGTACATAAGTCCTTGTGGAGGTCTAATAAGTAATATTAACTTGACCTAAAAACACATTTAGAGTCTAATCTACAAACTATACATTTTTTTAAGTTTTCATTAATATAACTTACTCTTTTTTCAAATTTGCAAGATAACAAATGCTCATATTACTATTAAGGTATCTAGAAGTAAGCAAAAGCTCATCTATCTTTAAATTTAAGTTATCAAAAATTAATGTTTGAAAATAAAGAGCTTTTTCTCTTTAATTACTCTAGTGAATTGGGCAGAATGTTTCAGTTTTACACTGGGCTCAAATAGTGCGAGGACAGGAGAGGAAATTCTCCTAAACTTATTTCCACTACTTCAAAATTACCCAGAAACAATTGACTGTTGGTTGTCTTTTCAATAAAGCGAATGCTTGTTGATGTTCCAACAATTTTTTTAACTGAATATTTTTTCAATCCTGAAATTTTCGTGTTAGACATATAGAATTAAAATTGACTATTTAGTATCCTTATTATCTACAGCTTACACTAAATTTACCTCATTTATACATGTCTACGAAATAATAAAGGAGTTGATATGAATTCTTTGGATATCGGAAATACATGTATCTTTACACAGCAATAATAAGAAACTTTCCTAACTGCAAACAGTTTCGTGCTTTCTGGATGCACTTATGAAAATCTTTTGGAAAAGAATTACTACTCTTTTCTTAAAGTGCTTTTTCGCCGAATAAGAAAATAGATAACCAGAAACACTGTTAAGTCTTGAATACTGAAGATACATAAAATAATTAAAAATATAGGTCATATCTGCAATTTTAAAGAATACAAAAATTTTGTCCACGCACTGGGTTGGGCAACACTCTGTTTCAATTCTGCCGCTGGTGTACCACTGCTACACAGTTAATGATATGTTTACATTTTTATCCGTAGCTTCACCCACAAGAATGTGAATCATCATTGGTTTATTGCTATTATTTTTAACAAAATATATTAAATTAGAAATACTTTTTCAACCCAAACTATACGTAAAGAAAACTTGAAAAGAAAGAAATTGCCATTTCCTGAATACTTTCCATTTGAAAAATCTTCGGGAAACTGAAATATAATAAGATCTAAAACTTAACTTTTAGGGCACCTTTGGTTTAGCTTATCTCCATTTTATATCAAGATACAAAGTATTGAAGCAATCTGATCAAATTTAGCTTGATACAGTTCACTTAAAATTATCACTTCAATAATCAATGTCCTGTATATCTTCTAAACAGTACAACTACAACAGTTAACAGAGATAGATTAAGTTTTCTCTAGAAAGTGTCGATTCAACAATAGCCGTCTTAGTCTGGACTCTTCAGCAGTGTCCTGTCATCATCAATGTTCTCTGTCAAGTGCTCAGAGACATGTAAGAATTAAGATTGTCCATTTTCTTCTCCTTTTGTTCCCTAGAAAATAATATTGATAGATTAGATAACGGAAATGTATCTAGTTGGAGAGAACGTTTGATTCTCCAACGAAAGTTCAGCTCCAAAAGGTAAAACAGTGATTTAAAATCCCGAAAGTAATCCTTTTAAACCAGAAAAAAAACGCCAATTTCACTTATTTGAAACATTTTTCATAGATCAGAAAGATCTCTTTCGGGACTGTGGTAGAATCGAAGCACATTAAAAATAACTGCTAAACATTTAAGCATAATCGGATACATGGACCACAATTGGTATATCTTAGATACACGCTGAGAAAAGGAATTTCCAACAATTTCAACAAAATAAAAATCTATTGCATTCTACAACTCAGCGTCATCAATAATCACACTGTATTTATCCATATACACATTGCGTATGATTTTCATCTTGTTAAACATTTTTTGAAAAAAAATTCTCGAAACCTGATTAGTGAAAAGAACTAAGTCTTTGTTTCAGGCAATGTAGCCTCTTTGCGGGATGGAATACAACTCAAAGGTGGTAACCCCCTTGGGAAAAAGCTGCGAGAAATGTTTTTTATTCCCTGCTTCATTTCTCTTGTGAGCGTCAATCAGCTACACAATTTTTTGTTGTTGGCTAAAGAAAAAGGAGCTTGTATTGACCTCAACCTGTTATCTTTAAATTGGATACTCTATGAAAACTTCCTGGGAAAAATATATTACTTTTACTTTCAATCTCTTCGGCAGAATTCCAACGGGAGTCAATGACAATTGTGATGTCATTTGACACCGCAAGGCATAGGTACTATAAAATTTATCAATATCCGACTTCAGCTCTCAATTTAAATCCTTTTCGACAACTTACCGAGTTTAGAGAGCTTCTCAACTTCAAAGTTTTTTCTAAGATAAAGTGGAGAAACCAATAAATATATTTGTTATGAAATTCCTTTTTTCATCACGCACTTCATCATGATGGTAGTCAAATCAGTCAGTGCTCTGTAACACCCAACAGAAAATAAAATAACTCTAAGAAGCCTACAGGTGACGCAATAAATGAAAGAAGAATCAATAAGAGGGCAGTCAGTACGGAACATGTGAGAATTTCCATTGATTCATTTATATGTTTCCATATGTACTATAATACTTTTAGCGAATTTCTGAAACCATGAATGAATTGTCAATCGTGTTTTAAATATAATATAGAACTTACTGCAATGTGCTTTTCAAAAAAAAAATAAAAATAATACTACCATATAAATTACTGGCCCGCCCCGGCTCTGCACGGGTGCAATGCTGATACTGAATATAAATTCACCCACCGGAAATATGAGGGCATGGAGAAAGAGTGATGCAAAGATACTATTGTTTTATGGATGCGCTTTTTTTTTTCTTGCGGCTGGCGTCCCAGTTGGAATATTTAAAAATTCTTTCTTATTGTACATCTACAACATGAAACGAGCCTACATACAAAATTTCAGCGTCCGAAAATATACCCTTAAAATATACTTGTATGTTTATCAAGAATAATCTTCCTTACAACGGAGAATCACAATGTGGGTACACCTGCCTATTCAATTCAGTTTGCTCAAAAGGTGTATCCAAAGTTTCTCTTCAAGAGAGAGTGTAAAGGAGATCGGGGTCTAAAAGAATATCTAGAAAAAGTGAGTCTTATGTAAACCTTCTTCAATACGAAATGAAATTTGGACCTGTTTACGCTATGGAAAACTAACAATTTTATTTTCAAAAATCGATTTTAATCCTACGTTTTTCCTAAAACTTTCTTCTATATCTTCCAAACTGATCCTTCCAGCTGGGGGGAAAATTGAATTACCCTGAAGATTATACGTATATACTAATTTATATTTAACAGGTCAAATGTTAGACCACTTTAAGGATTTTCGTTGAAATGTTGTGCTTAGAGTTGATATATTTTTTGAAATGGAGAAGTCATTCAACTGCATGATTCACACAAAGTGTCACTCAATTTATAACTGATACAATATGTTTAGACATTACAAAATGGTTAAGACTTTCGCGGCCGAGGTTTTCAGTCTCACTGTTTTTCGGGTTTGAAGGACGTCGATTTTTTATACATTCCGAGTTAATCTCCGATGACTGGATATCCCGGCTGCGTGAAGCGTATTTATGTTGACCCAGATAGTCTGGTGTGATAATACCTGTACCTGGATTAGGTATATTAAAATAACATTCGTCGACAGTTTTCTACCTGCCGTCATACTGCTTGCTATTATCCGTGTATTTGTGGATCTCTATTGCCTCCCGTACCAGTCGGCAATTCGTGTTTTTAAATAGAATCCTGTGGTTTCCTTCAATGAGTGCGTGTTCCGTCACAGCCGACTTGTCTGTTTGGCCTAGTCTGCAGAATCTTCCATGCTCCTTCAGCCTTGTTCCCATGGATCATTTGGTAGTTCCGATGTTTACCTTCACACAAAAGCACGGTATGTTTATACCCCTGCTGGTGATAGTGGGTCTTTTTTGTATTTAGTAGACCTGAGGCTTTGTTTCATCTTCTTGGTGGTTTTGAAAACTGTTTTAATGTTGTGTTTCCCAAGAGTTTTCCAATTCTGTCTGTGACCCAAGTTCAAGAATAGCAAATAGCATGACGGCGGGTACAAAATGGTCGATGAATGTTTTCGATATATTCAATCCAGGAACAGGTATTATCACCCCAAACTATCTTAGTCAACATAAACACGCTTTGCGCAATTACCTAATCAAGGTACAGGTATAATCATGCCAGACTACTTCTTCAACATAAACACGCTTCACGCAATTTTCCTAATCCAGTTACAGGTATTTTCATGCCAGACTACCTGTTCAACATAAACACGCTTTACGCAATTTACCTAATGCAGAAATCGGTATTATCACTACCTTAGTCAACATAAACACGCTTTGCGTAATTCACCTAATCCAAGTACAGGTATTATAATGCCAGACTAACTTTTCAACACAAACACGCTTCAAGCAAATAACCTAATCTAGGTGCAGGTATCATCATGCCAGACTACCTGTTCAACATAAACACGCTTTACGCAGGTTACCTAATCTAGGTCCAGGTATTATCATGCCAGACTACCTGTTCAACATGAACACGCTTTACGCAGGTTACCTAATCTAGGTACAGGTATCATCATGCCAGACTACCTGTTCAACATAAACACGCTTTACGCAGGTTACCTAATCTAGGTACAGGTATTATCATGCCAGACTACCTGTTCAACATAAATAGGCTTTACGCAATTCACCTAATCCAAGTACAGATATTATCATGTCAGACTACCTGTTCAACATGAACATGCTTTACGCAAATTACCTAATCTAGGTACAGTTATTATCATACCAAACAACCTGGATCAACATAAATACGCTTTACGCAGCTGTGATATCCAGTCATCGTAGACTAACTCAGGGTGTATACACCTCTGAAGAAGCTAGCCACTCGTCAGCAAAACGTCAGGAAGAAATTCCAAATATCGCCGGCATTCAAACCAAAAAAATAGTGACACTATTTAGGCATGGACTCAGGTACAGGTAACAAAGAGCTATATAGGAAAACGAAAGAACGCCTATATAGCCAATAGAGTATATTAAATACAAAGCTTTGAGTCTCAACATTTCACAATCGTGATTAGTTCTAGGATGAAGTAGTTATTTGTCATCTTTCCATCATCAACGATTTTATTGCTGAGAAAGCATTCACAGACAGGGTAACCAAATCTCGGACCGAAGGGACTTGATTCTGTAAATTTATTGCTCTTTTACTATAAGCATCTTTATTATTCTTTAGATACATAACTATATCGTCTTTAGAATTATCTGCGGAGATACTCTTAATATTGCATTTTATGAGAAAAGATTGCAAATGTCTTGACGTAATTTTGTGAATTTTTCTATTTGCAAGACTCAGCCAACGGCAAATTATCACCATGTATTATTTTTTATTGAAATTCAGTCTGTGATACTCTCAGTTAAATTTTGTTTAGACAGTAAACCAGTTTTATGTTAAATTTTCAAATAAGTATATCTAAAAATGATGATGAAATTTTGTTATTAGACTGATATAGCATTTTTTGTATCTTTCTCAGTGAATACGGCACCCAAATTCTTCTTCTTCCAAGTAATTGAACACATTTCTATATCTACCAGATCTTTCATATTATTAACAGACATACGAAAACTATTTTTTATTTGAAGTGAAAGTATTTCAGTCCGAATTTATTTGAAAAACGGAAAAAATACTAATTTGGACAGACACAATTCAATTGAAACCGACTTTTGATCTTCTGAAAATATAATCTCAATCGGTTATTCCGTACTGATTGCTCTATCATATAGGGTGATTAACCGACCTCTGCAGCCATTTTGCTTTTGGCGTATTCGATACGGATGGGTCCGCGATCCGAGGAAAGTAGAAAGGAACCCTGAAGCGCACCCATGACGTGCGCTGCGCACCTCACGTCCTGGTACTCCATGAAGGCGACAGGAGATCCACCCTTGGTGTGCATGCGTAGGCGGCAGAAGCCGGGAAAGCTGTGCACAAGAACACAACACAGGTGCTGCTCAGTGTGTTTGGGCGCTACCTAATAGTATTGCCGAGTTCGGAAGGTTAAACAAGGGTGGGGGTGAGGGTTGGCAAAGGATCGCTAGCATGCTTTCTAAATAGTTTGGAAAACTCTCAATTTCATCAAACCTAGACAACCTGAGATAATCTGAAAACTTTGGTCAAGTTAGTAAATTCAGCGTTGTGTATTCACCAATGAATTCACTCACTGTTCCATTCGAAACCTGTTTCGTTGTCATTAACTGATTAAAAATGCGCATCCGACATCGCTGAATTTACATACTTGCCTGTTCTCCTCCAATTTTCCATTCCGCTAAAATAATATGTTGAAAATGCATTTGTATGCTGCAAATGTATTGCCAATCAAGTTAACATAATCGTAATCAAATGCATATAACAGTTCAACAACAGAACCATTATGGGTACTTTAGATGGGT